GCGAAGGCAAAATTTAATTAAATTAAAAAATTATTATTTTTTAATAATACAAAAAAATAATAATTAATGTAAAACAAAATGTTGGCCTTAACGCCGCCATGTTGATGAAAAATTTCTCGCTTTTGAATTATTATTATTATTAATATCTTCTTAATAATTATTAAACGTTGCTTAATATGATATTGTGTTATTGTTATTGGAATGTTGATAAATAACGTTGTTGTTAATATCGTAAAATTAATTTCTTTAAATAATTGTTAAAAAAAATTTAATTTCTTTTTTTTTTTTTTGCGAAAACGATTTTAAATTAATAATATTACGTAACGAAATAATAATGATAATACCAACGAATATAATAAAATTTAAGTAAAACGATAATAAATTATTAATTTTTTCAATTATGAAAAAAAAAAAATTTCTCGAATTTGTGAAACGTCATATTATTATTATTATTAACGATTAAAAAATTTGACGCATACTACATTGTTAATCCTTTCATTTTCTAGCAAAAATATTGAAAAGCGCAAAAAAAAAAATTAATTGACGAGTGCAAAAATTTCACCGACGAAAAATTTTAATCGTTAAAACAAAAAAAAAAAAATATAATAAATAAATAAATTTCGTTTTTTTTTTTTTTTTTAAAGCCTCGAATTAAAAAAATTTCACTTTTTTTTTGTTATTCTTCTTCTTTTTTTCTTCTGCTTTTTCATTCGTCATCGACAACTTAACAAAAAAAAAAAAAAAAAAAAATGATTCGCGAATTTTTTAAAAAAAAATTTTCTATTGGATTACGAAGCAAAAAATAAAAAATAAAAATTTTTTTTTTCTTAATTCGTTTCCGATAAAATAATAATAATAATAAAGGAGAATGATTGATTGATTTTTTTTTTTTTACACGTAATCGAATAAAATTAAATAATAATAAAAAAAAAACTATTTTCACGATGAATAATAAATAAATAAATAAATAACAAGTTGTGAAAGTTTGATTTCGATAAAATTTAATAAAAAAAAAAATTACACAAAAATTTACTTCCACGTTTTCCCTTTAACCTTTGACCTTTTACGAAGGAAAAAAAAACATCGCAACGGGCACAATCGCGTAAATTTATCGATTCATAACAATTATGTAACGACGATCGATCGATCGATAATTCAATTTTTAAAAAAAATTTTTTTTTTGCTCCCCCCCCCCGAATCAGGTACATGTCACACACATTTGACGTAAATAAAAAAAAGAAAATTTTAAATTCTGCCAACTGTCAAAAAAAAAAAAAAAGAGAAAATTTCCGTTAAAAATCCCTTTAAAAAATTAAATTTGTTTATTAAAGTTTTTTCTTCATTATTATCAATAACGGTTTTTTCCCCAGTAATAATAATAATAATAATAATAATAATTATTATTATTATTATTATTATAACGATAATAATAATTATTATTATTATTATAACGATAATAATTATTATTATTATTATATATTAGAGTAATTTTTAATGTATTATTATTAAATTAAACGAAAATAATAAATTTATTATTATTACTACTATAAAAGATTTCGAAATTTGTTTTTTTTGTAACAACTTTCCAAAAAAACAAAAAAATTATAAGCTTTATTTTGAAAAAACTAGATTTTTAGGGGGAAACGGGGGGGAGGCCGAGAAGAATAAACCAGTCGCGTGTATACAAAAAACAAAAATTTCGAGTTTTAGAAAAAAGAAAAAAAACAAAAAACTCGTAATAGAAATTAGGAATTAAATTTTTAAATAGTGATTCAAATTTATGTTTGCCATCCTGATTTTGTGCTAATTAATCAAAAAATTATGAATTTGAATAACGTTATCGAGGGGGGCTTTATAAAAAAAAATTTTTTTTTTTAAAAGTAGAATTTCGACAAATTTTATTGGTCCGCCGAAAAAAAAAAGAAGATCGACCGGTCGTTACGCAAAAATTATCATCATCATCATTATTATTATTATCATTAAGCTATTTCGAATATTATAATAAATTCCAGTTTTTTTTTTTATATTTCTTGCCAATGAATTTAATAATAATAATAATAATAACGAGTAGGTCACAAGTTCTTCGACAGGTTTCTTTTACATTCGCGCGCGCCATAAAAAAAAATTTTTTTTTTTTTTTTACTTGTTTTTCAGTTAGTTTTTTAAGGATAATTTTTTATAATTAATATAAACGAGTTCTTCGTCTTCGAAAGTGAAACTTGAGTATCTATAAAAAAAAAATTATATTCACTCACGCACTCACGCACACATTCACACAAGATCCCTCCTTTCCGCGTGTTAACAACAACAACAACAACAACAAGAAGTTAAAATTAAAATAAATTATTAGATAGGCCCTTTAAAAAAACACGATTCGATTGCATAAAAATTTTCCGTTTATTAAATAATTAATAATAATAATAATAATGATGATGATGATGAAATCAATTCGTAAGAAAACGTAATGAAACTTAAGAAAAAAAAAAATCGCCGGTTTTTTTGCAAAAAGTTTTACCTCTTTGAATTATTATAAAGTTTTTTTATGATTCCCTGGTATTCCCTTAACTTTACCCTTAAAGCATTAGGCATATGAAAATTTTTTTTTTTTTTTTTTTTTTGGAAAAGTAACACACCTCCTTTTTTTTATATGACTCACCTAATTCCAAACAAAACAAGACACTGAGAGTTAATGTAATCACTATACGCGACGCCATTTTTTACGCGCGTCGACACTCACTAAAGTGTCGTTGCCCGAGATTACACTTTCTTTATATACACGGCCTACATCCGAGTATCGGTACGAGTACTTTAGGGGATCAACATTCTCTCATTGGTTGTTTTTATTTTGACGTCATAAACATGGCGTTTATCTAACGCCCATACTGACCTTTCTTAGCAGGTTTTCTGCTGTGATGATGATGACTTCAGTTGTTACCAAGAGTTTTCAATGCCAACTTCAGTATAATTGGCATATGTGCGTGTGCGTGCGTGCGTGCGTGTGTGAGTGTGTGTGTGTGTTTGTGTGTGTGTGTGTGTGATGCACGCCATTAAAAAACTTTTTTTTTTTTACATTTTAAACCCAACGCACGTACGGAAAACGACGAGATAAAATTATATATAAATTGGCCATGCAGTTTTCATTGCCATTTTGAATAATTTAAAGTAGGATAAACATTAAGAATCCTTTAAATTATATTTTTACTTTTTCTCGTCGTCTGCTACTACGACGAGAATTTAAATTTGATTGGGTGTTTCCTACGAGGAAAATAGAAAAGCGAAAAAAAACGAATTGATGACGACGACGATGATGATGATGAATTTCTTGTTAAAAAATGTTTTTCATTATTATGGCGTGAAGGGAGGGAAATGAGGGAAGAGGGGCGGGGAGGGGGATTATTTAAAAATCAAATTATAATTTTTTCAAAAGGTCTTTTCGAAAGGTTTCGAACTAAATTAAAAAATAAAAATTTTTTTCTAAAAACGAATTTTCCCTTCTAAACGTAACATTTAAAAGAAAAATATTTTTAATGAAATTTAAAAAATTTTGGCTGGCATCTTAAAAAAAAAAAATTTATTATTTTTCTATGCCAAAAAATGCCATTCACCTTTTTTATTTTTTTTTTCATATTATCGTGAACTTAAAAAAAATTAAAATTAAATTATGGTGATGATGATGATAATAATAATCGAATCGATTTCAAAGAGAAAATTAAAAAATTAAAAAAAAAAAATTTGCACTGCCAAGGTTAGAGTGAGAATCAAAAAAAAAAAAAAAAACTTAAATGAAAATTTTATTATTATTATTATTATTATTATTATTATTATTATTATTATTAATATTATTATTATTATCATTTTAATAAGTTTATACGTTACTTTATTTAATAAAATTTAATTCTTTTTCATTGTCAATAACCAAAAAAAAATTACTTATTGATAATGAAGTAAATAAAAAAATCTAGGGTGATCGTAAAATTGTTTAATGTACGTCAAATAATATTAATAAAATAAATAAAAAAAATTATGTACATAAATAAATAAATAAGTTAAAATTTTTTAATAAAATTATACTTAAAAAAAAACAAAATGGCATTTTCGGGTAATTTAATTTTAAACGGTTTATAAAAAAAATTAAAAATTTGTTTCCCTCTCCCCTTTCTTATTTATTTATTAATAACAACCCAATAAATAAGTGAATAAATAAATAAATAAGGGACACGAATTTAATTTAATTTAAATATTTACGAGACGATTTTTTTAAAAAAAAAAATTACGTAACCGTAAAGTAATAATAATGGCAGATATTCGATGAAGAATCATTTCCGTATTTTCTAACCAGTATATCAAAACAAGTAACAAAAAAAAACAAATTAAAAATATAAACAAATCATATAATTCTCGTTTAATTTTTTTTTTTTAATAAATAATAAATAAATTAACGACGCCATTTTATTTTTTAAAAAAAATTTAATTATTAATATTTTTGCGACACACAAATACCGAAATGTCGACAATATTCTCTTTCAAATTTAAAAAAAAAAAATTTCATTCGTTAAAATTATTTTAAATTTTTATTTAAAAAAAAAAAAAAAAAATGGCGAATTCGGGATATTTTTTTAAATGTCGAAAAATTTAAAACGAGTTTATTAATTTTAATAATAATAATAATAATAATATTAAAATTTTTAACCTTCAGAAAAACAAAATTAATAGAATTTTATTAATTAATATTCCTGTCGTTATTTTTTTTTAAAAAAGATTTCGTTTCACACACACACACAAAAAAAAAATTTTTTTTTTCCACATTTTATGAATTAACTTTCTATTTATTTATAAATAAACATTTATTATTATTATCATTATTATTAATAATAAAACAATAAACAAAAGAAACGTCAACCGTAATTTATAATGAAATGAAAGAAAAAAAAAATTTTTTTTTTTCTCTCTTTTTTTTCCAGTGAAATTTTCAGGGTAAAAAGTCAAACAATAAAAAAAAAAAAAAAAAAAAAAAACCTGTTATTCTTTTTTTTTTTTTTTTCTAGAAATATTTGGGCTGTGGCTGTTTGTTTCTGTTTGTGTGTTTGTGTTTGTTCAGAATTTTTTATTCTTAGAGAGTTATGTAAAAAAAAAAAAAAAAAAAGAAAAACCTACGCTCAATGACAAGACACAAAATATTAATAAAAGAATTTTTTCGAGTAAAAAAAATAAATTTTTTTTGCCACACGTCATTCGTTATTTAATAATAATAATAATAATAATGATGATGATGATGATGATAATAATAATAATGATAAAAATCATTTTGCATTTATCTTAATAATTGAAATAAAAAATTTTTTAAAATTTAAAAAAAAAAAAAACGAATGTCCGTGATAACGATATGGAACACGTTATCGTTCCAGAAATAAATAAACTAATTATTTATTTTTTAGTTTAATAATTATTAATTAAATTTGTAAATCGAATATTTAATAAACAAAAATAATAATAATTATTGTTATTATTTTTTCGCGTCACGGTTCGTTCAAATAATTGTTATTATTTCGTTATTAATTAAACTAATTAGTTAATTTTTTTTTGTTTTTTTTCTATTTTTTTTTAATAAATTTTTATTTACATTAGAAATTCAAAAGGCGTAGTAGTAGTAGCAGTAGTAGTAGTAGTGGTGGTGGTGGTGGTAGTAGTAAAACTTTCTCTCCATCACGTAAATGATAATTATTTTTTTTTTTTGTTTCCCCGTTAATTATTATTTACAAATGTAGTTATTTTACGCTAAGTAAAACAAAACAAAAATTATGTTTATGTTTATGTTTTTTTTAAAATAATGTTTACCACCGTAAAAATATAAATTTAATTAATAAATATTTAAATAATATAAAATTAAAAAAAAAAATTAATAATAATAATGGCGTTCGATTATATTTCTCTAAATTTTTTTCTAAACGTTTCACGTGTCGTCGTCGATTTATTACCATATCCCCGATTTAATTACGGTAATAATAAATATAATAAATTAAATTTATAATTTATTTAATTAAATTTATTATTTTAAAAAAAAAAAAAATAGTTAAACGGTAGAATTCGATTCGACATTTTTTTTTTTTTTGTAAAAGGAAATTAAAATAACGTTTGTTTCTAATATGATAAAATGTCTTCTGCTATACACGAAATGTAAACAATAACATTTCAAACAACAAAAAAATTATTAAGTATGCATTAAAAAAAAATTAATTAAAAAAAAAAAAAAAAATCTAAAAAAAAAAAAATTAAAAAACATGAACGAAGAAGAAGAAAAAAAAAAAAAAGGTTGCATATTGACAAGGGTATATTTAATTATTATTATTATTATTATTTGTTTAATAAAAAAAAAATTTATACATTTATAAGAATAGTAATTTATTATTATTTAGAAATGAATGAATGAGTGAGTGAGTGAACAAAAAAAAATAATTTCTAGTAGTAGTAAAAGAATTTCACTCGGTGAAATCGACAAAAAAAAAAAAAACTAAAAAAAAAAAAATTTTGTTATTCGGTTAGAAATTTTGTTTAAATGTAAACATTAGGAGAAATACAAACGACAACGACAACAACAACCACTACTACTACTACAAAAATTATTAAAATAACGTTTGTTACAAATTATAAACATTTACTTTTAAAAAAAATTTTTTTTCGGGGGGGGGATTTCGTTCGTATTTTTTGCAGAAAGATGCAATAGAAAAAGTAATAACGGAAAAATTAACAAAAGTACCACGTGATGACATGAACGTTGTTTTAAACGATTGGCCGAAAATAAGAAAAAATTATAAGAAAATTTTCATTGATTCGTTTATAAATTATTTTGCGGAAAATCCAAATTATAAATTATTATTTCCGTCTTTTTCAAACGTGTCAGAAGATGATTTACCGTTTAATCAGTAAGTAATTATAATAATGATGATAAGAGAGTGAACAAATTCAAATTAAAACAGACACCATTTTTTTTTTTTTTCAATTCTTTGTAATTAATTAATTAATTAATGACATAATTATTAAAATTTTTTTGACACAGTTGTTTTAGACTTCATTGTTTTGCCGTGTATAAAGCAATAAATTTTTTAATGTCCAATTGGTTGGGAGAATACGAAGAAGATGATAGCAAAATACTACCCGTTATCGGTAAAACTCATTTCGATAGAGGTATCACGTTAGAAATGATGAATCTTTATAAGCATTCGATCGTATACTCGTGTAATAATCATTTGAAACCGAATTTGAAAAGAAAATTATCATGGCAAACCGTTTTCGATCACATATTCGATTATTATTTGGGTTCCGCATATCCTGCCCCCATACAAACTGTCGAAGAAGATGATTGAAAACTTTAAAAATATTGGGGAGCCGATGATGAGAAATTTATTGGTAATAAAAAATGAATGTTATACAATTTTCATATAACACGCGGTAGAGAAAATTTTGTTGTTTGTTGTTTGTTTGTTGTTATAACCAATCCGTATTTTACACGGATCGTTCGTTTCCGGGACCTTTTTAATTTTTACCTTGAACTTTAAAGATTGAGGCCATTTATACACTTATTAGGTAGTAATAGATTTTTTTTTAACGAAAAAAAAAATTTATTAATGAAAAAAAAAATTTTTTCCCGTTAATATTATTATTATTATTGTTACAAAAAATTATTTTTAAAGGTAATGATAATAATAATAATAATAATCGAATCGGTTATTGGAATAAAATTAAATTTTTTGATTAAAAAAAAAAAAATTATTTTTAATAGGTTACTGGAACGAAAAAATTATTTTAAATTGAATAAAAAATTTACTCTCTCTCTCTCTCTTTCTTTTGTAAAGGATATATTTATTATTATTACGTGGTAAAAACGTGGTAAAAAATTAATAAACATTTTCCAGAAAGATAAAACAAAAATTAAAAATTATTTTTTCGTATAATTTTAATCGTTTTTTTTTTTTATTTTTTTTATTACTTTAATTATTTTTTGTACAGATGATAATTGATTGATTTTGTTTGTTTGTTTGTTTGTTTGTTACACGAAACGACAACTTTAAACAAAAGAATTCCAAAAAAAGGTGTTTCGAGTTTTTTATTGACAAAACGAAGAAAGAAGAAGAAGAAAAAAATCCAGACCACGGACGAATGGAAAACAATAAGTGGGGTAGGACGAATTTTAACAGGTAATAATTTTTCCTTTTTTTTTTCTTTTATTACTCTATCAAAGGTAATAATAATAATAATAATAATAATAATATATTAAAAATTAAACGAACCGATTAAAATTATAATGCGTAATTTTTTTTTAAAATGTCGTTTCTCGAGATGAGGCTATGAAGTTTATATAATAATAATAATCTTTTACATTTAAGAAGAACGTGACCCACTGGCATTATCTTTTCTTTTTTTTTTTTTTTAAGTTGTACAGGTAATAATTGATATTGATATTAATAATAATAATAATAATAATAATAATAATAATAATGATGATGATGATGATGATGATGATGATGAGAATTATGATGAATAAAAGGTATACGAAATAACAAGTTCAAGAATGAAGTTTAAAAAAAAAAAATTTTCGTAATTTTTTGTTTGTTTTTTTGGTAAACGAGACAAAAGAATGAGAATGTTCTAGAAAGAAAAGAAAGAAATAAAGAAAGAAAGAGAAAAAGAAAAATTTTAATTAATTTTTTTAAGAAGAAAAAATTATTTAATAATTCAAAAAAAATGTTTATGAACCGTTTGAAACCGTTGTAAAATTTGAATTTTTTTTTTATAAATGTTTTGTTTAAACAACAAATTTTATTATGTTTAATATGTTTTTTTTTTTTTTTTTTTTTAATTAACAAAAACCTTCAACCTTATTTAAATAATGTTTTTTTTGTTACGCGGTCTTAATAGGGTAAAATTTTTTCCGGCCTTCAACTCATATTCACCTATTAACTTTTTATTTATTTATTTATTTTTAATATTTAAAACGTCAAAAGGTTTTTTTTAAATAATTATTTATGATTAATTGTACGTTTAGGGGGATTGATTGGAGAAGTGAGAGAGAGAGAGAGAGAGAGAGAGAGAGAGAGAAAATAATAAAATGAATGAAAACGTCATTCGTAACGGGGGGGGAAAAAAAAAAAATTTAATTCGAAATCTAATTAATTTATTGATTTATGTATCGGTTATGGATTATTTAATTAATGTTTGTTGAAAAAAACTTAATGCAATGAAAGAAAAAAGGGGGGGGGAAAAATTTATTCCGAATAATAATTAAATCCCGCGGAGAAAATAAATAATTAATTCTTTTATTTAAGTCGAATTAACTGAAAATTTTGTCTGAACAATTTTTTTTTTAATTACTAACACACGCCCGATTTCTCTTTTTAAATTTTTTTTTTTTGTTTTTGTTTTAAAAGTAGTGAAAATTTAAAATTATATTTTCCGTATGAAAATTTCTATTCCCCCCCTCCTCCCCCCAGTCCCCCAATCGTTTTAAATAACATTAAAAAAAAAAAAATACACGCTTTGAAAATTACAATTTAACTCAAACTGTTTAAAATTTTCTATTTTTTTAGAACATTTTTACATTTAAAAACGCGGTGTGTATTTAAAATTTACATTTTTCGCGCCTTTTTTTTTTTTAAAACGTCCCATTATTATTATTATTTTATGGGTAACAAATCGATATAAAAAAAAAAAAATTTATACGGTACCTTTTTTTTTTTTTAATTTTGTCACATAAGTATGTATATATTTACGTAAAATTTAAATAAATTTCATTAAGAATAAATTAAAATAATAATAATAATAATAATTAAATAAAACAAAATTTTCTATTTAAAAGCGTTTTATTCAATCAATTAATGTGGAGAGAAAAAAAAAACAGTAGGGTATTGTAATGGAACCCCCCCCCCCCGATTTTAATAAAACGCAATTTTATTTATTTATTTATTTTTTTTAACGTAATCAGTATTAAAATTGTTTTTAACAATAATTACGAGAAGTGTGCGAACGAGGTGGAGGAGCCTGTGGCGGAGGCATAGGTTCATAATACCTTGAAGTCTCTATAAATCCTAATAGCATGTCTTGAGTAACCGGATTCAATATGCTTTCTGAAACGCCTGTAAAAAAAAAATTTATATATTAAATAGAAAATAATAATAATAATAATAATAATGAAGGAGATAAATGTTATAATGGTTGACGAACGATAAATTATTTTCAAATGGCAATAATTTTATATCCGTTAATGAAATGATTAATTTTTTGAATAATACCATTGGATAGAGAGAGAAAGAGAGAGAGAGAGAGAGAGAGAGATTTTAAATAAATTATTAAATAAGTTTTTAAACTTACTTTTAGCCGTTTCGTACGAATTGGGAAACGACTTATCCGTTCTTTCCCTCATGAAAATCCACGAGCCATTTTCGTATTTACATTCAATTATTTTATTATCTAAATCTTGAAGACCTTTAACGCTGTTCAAAACGGCAAATTTCGATGATAATCCTCCCACGTAAAGCTCACCTATTTTTTTTGGTACTATCCTGAAAGAGATTGAATTTTTTTTTTTAATTAAAAAAAAATTACAATTTAAAATTAATAAAAAAATAAAAATATTCAAAACGAAACAAACCCCACTCCTGATTCAGTGGTTATTTTTAATTTAAAATCTATTGAATTTAAAGATGGCGGTTTCCACTTTAATAATAAGTCGTACTGACCCGGCGTGTACGGCTGTTAAACATAAAATAAATAAAAATTAATCTTTTATTAATAGAGATATTTAGGTTTTTGTTGATCGAGTACTACTTACTTCTCTCGAAGGTTGAAATATTAAACCGTCCGGTTCGTGAGAGAGAGCTTTGCAAAATTTTTCGCTTAAAAATTTTTCCGCATATCTCACGCTGAAAAAATCTTTTGCTCTAATGCTAAAAGGTTCTTTAGCTCTATTTATTAAACCTATTTTCATTGCTTCGTATCTCGGTTCGGTTATTTCTTTTTTAATCGTTTCGTAACGGGTAGGAAAAAAGGGTTTCGTTCCGATTGGGTAACCATTTAATGCCACAATGTCATAAACCAAATATCTTGGTATGTTTTGCCCATCAAATTTATCCAATACCATTTCACCATCGAGAAGAGTCTTTTTTAAATGTAAATCTTTTTGATAAGGAAAACTTATATTCCTTACTCTAAAAACCGAATTGTTACGATCTACAAAAAATATTTCATTTTTATCATCTATGTACATAAGATACCTAACACCATCTGCTTTCCAAGACACTGCATAAGGCTTAAGAGATAGTAGTTGTAAATTTGATACAGTCATTGATACAGGTTGAGAACCAGGAAATCCAGTCCTGAAAAAAAAAAATAAAAATTTCCACCATCCATTCGTTCAATCATTAATTTTAATAAATGTATAATTGTAATTTGTGTGTGCTATTACCTTTTCCAATTACATAATTCTTGAACCTTTTTTTGAATTTTTCCCAAAAGTGGTTCGTGAACAAGTTCTACTCCAGGTACACCAGGCATAAATGTTGGATTTTTAATTGTCAACTCTTTTTTTCTTCTCTTTTGCTTACCATTAAATTTGTCATTTTTTCTCTTTCTTTTTTTAGATTTTTCTTTCACTTTATTTTCATTAATTTCTTCATCTATATTTTGTTCGTTACTATCATCATCACTGTCATTATTATCGTCATTCCCATCATCATTGGTCTTGTCCTCGTTATCTTCATCATTTTCATATTCCTCCTCATTTTCATTATCATCATTTCCAGTATTTTTATCACTTTTATTGTCAAATGTCAATTCATATTCCTCATCAGATTCTTCGAAACACCAGTCAGGTAAAGGAGGAGGTTGAGGTAAATATTCTACATCATCATACCTTCTGTACAATTCTTCTATATAGTCTTTTTTATAAATTCCAGGAGGTCTAACTTCAGCAAATTTTAACAAAGCTGCACCTAATTCCCAGTCATATTTTTCTACCAAAAATGACACAAGCATAAAACCTGATCTATTAAAACCATGAGTGCAATGAATACCTATAATTTCGAGAGGATGTTGATTTATAAAATTGTGACATATTGCTATAAATGTTTCGGTTTGTTTGACAGAAGGTGTTTCTCCAAATCCCCTGCATTGTAGTTTTATATATTTACATCCATGACTCTCAACATCTCTTCTGTCATAAAACCTAGTAGTATTTGTTAAATCAATCCATAATCCTAAATTTACTTTGTAACTTTTCATTGAATTAAAAACAAAATCAACCGGAAACAGACATTCATCAGGAACCTGATCATCGTATTTATGATCTAACGGAGTTTTAAATATTAAAAATTTTCCAACAAGAAGTTGAAGAGATTTCCTCGGACAGCCAAGCCACCTTTTTGGGATACACTCATATTTAGGTCTTTTTCTTTCACGGTTACTCATATTGTTGATGATGACAAATCGTTGATTTGAACGTCACTTGTAGCGTAAAATGTAAACACTGTATTGAACGTTTTGTAGGACATTTACAATATTAATATATATTAATTAAGAATAATCTCTTTTACCTATATTACCATAGTATTATTTTAAATAATTATAAATGTCTTACAAACTTTATTCGGCAGTTTTTAAAAATATATTTTTTACAGGGATTACACCCTGTAAAATATACGAGTAAAATTAACCAATGTAAGGAATATTAGTACCGGCCATATTGTTTAAGTGGCAAATCAGAATTTACTCATTAATTTTTTCTCTATGATTTTGCTATAATTAAGAGAACTTACTAAAATAGCGCGATGTACGGTCGCCATTGTGAAAAATTTTTTTTCAAGTGTGTTACAGTTTTAAAATTTTTTTTTTTAATTTTTAATAATTAATATTTTAGTGATCAGTTTTTAATAAAATTATTGTGTAATTCGAATAATTTTGTGTTTGTGATTTTAATACGAATAGAATATCTTCTACTCGCATGTAAGTTCAATCAAAAACATTCTTTCAAATTTATTCTTAAAGAAGCATAATGCAAAAATTTTTTTAAATGATTTTTAACAATTTTTAACTAACCGTGAATGTCTTTGGTTAGAAATTAAAATATTATCTTTGATATTGAGTATGTAAAGTATTGTTTTTTATATTGTTTTGTACTCTCTAGTATTTCTTTACTTCCAATAAAAAAATACTAGTCACAATTTCAAATGAGAATTACTTAACATAAAGATGTCATTACAAAAAAAAAATTTACTGATCATTAAAAGGAATAAAATAATTACTGTTTGATTACTTTGGAAACAATTAAAGAAATAAATACTCATAAAATATCAAACTAAACAGAAAGTTATTTTATTTTTAAATTTTTTTTTTTTTTTTTTTTTTTCACAAATTTTTCCACAATTTCATGTTCACATAAGAGAGTGTATGTAATTTATACAATTTGTATCTAAAATTATATTAAATTCAGAAATAGTTAAATTCAGAGAGAGTATTATTATCATTAAGTATGTTATTAACTTAATCTTAAAATAAATTAATATATTGAGTATTTTGCTTTAATAAATTACAAAAGCATTTAAAATCTAATAAGTGTAGTTGTAGATTTTAAACTCATACCCAGTTCCTGCTGGGGTTTTTTTTTTTTTTTTTTTTTTAATAAATATTATCAATCTAATACTCTTTTTTTTCTAATATCCAAATATTATAAATGATATAAATGATATTCAAATATAGTTAAATACATATTAAGATAATATATATATAAATTTTACTTAATTAAGTTATCATTAACTTAATGTGTCTATATATATATATATATTTTTAGTATTTTCATCATTAATTTGATTTGTACCTAATCCACTGCAAAAAGTAAATAAAATAAATATTTATATAATTTTTAATATTTTAAGTAATTAAATAGCAACAATAAATAATATTTTTCTTGAATTTATTAATAACTTTTTTTTGTTTGTTTTGTTATTAATTTTCTAATTAATTGATTGTCAGTTTGGGGATTTAATGGTAACACAACACATTTAAAATTATATAATCTAAATCACACATTTAAAAAAATAAAACTAAATAAGATTTTTAATTAATTAATTAATTTTTCTAAAATTTATAAAGTAATAATACAAAATAATTTTTTCTTTTTTCTATTGATCATTTTATTTTTTTTTTAAATGAAATCAGAAAATACTTTTATTTATTTAAATATATAAATCTTATAAGAAATAAGTGATTTTATTATGCTAGTGAAAATATTTAATTACTATTTTTACAGTTTCTAATTAGATTTTAAGATACTTTAAGATAATTTTTCTCACAATTAAAAAAAAGAAAGAAAGAAATGAAAAGTGTCTGTTAAAACCAAAGCAAAAGCAAATTTAAAAATTTTTTTTTTTTTTAAATAATAAATAAATAAAAATTATGTATTTGTAGGCACAAAGTAGCACGGTTTTTTTTTTTTAAAGAAATAAAACAAAATTTAAAAAAAAAATTAATTATCAATGACTGAATATAAATTTTACACAGATATGTGATATTAATAATAATAATAATAAGTAGGTAAAATTTTCAAAATAAAATCTAATTGTTTTTGAACTTTATCATTTGCTAAAAATTTTTTTCTTTTTTAAATTTACAACTTATTTTAATGACTAGTTTTTAAGCAAGTTATTACGATTAGGAACGTTTTGCAAAATTATTATTATTAATACTTAAACTATTAAAATACATAGAAATAATTTTAATTTTTTTAATGTGTTCAAGTATGTTTGTATGTAGGAATGAAGAATTCCTAATAATAATAATTATTAAGAGAATTATGTAACATTTTTAAATAATATTTAAATATCATTGTGTATTATTTCGGAATTTAAAAGTCTCGTTTCACTTAATTCCGATGAAGGGCCTTCATCATTTTCTATTGTTGTTGTCATTTTTGTACTTTCATCATCATCATCATCATCAACAATTGTATTTATATCGGGTTTAACTGATGTTTTATATTCATTTGCTTCTTTTCCGATTAAGTAATAAGTCATTAGTTGTCCTTTTCCCTTAACTGTGACTAAACCTCTTTGTTCGAAAACGTATCCGAAATTTTGTAGAATTTTACAAGTTTCTTCCGTAACCTACGATTAAGGGATGATAAAATTTTATTCGATAAGTTACAAATGAGGGATTTTCAAGTGAGTTTACTATACGGTACCTGTATACAACCCGCTTTTCCAGTGCTTTCCATTCTTGATGCAACGTTAACCGAATTTCCCCATATGTCGTAATGAGGTTTTCGAGCTCCGATAACACCGGCTGTTATCGGACCGTGATTGATTCCCATTTTTAATACGAAATGATTAAAACTTTGTTCGTTAATTCCTTGCAAAGCTGTTTTTAATTCAAATGCGAATTCAACAAGCAAAGCTAAATGAGCCCAACGTTCTTGTATCGAATCATCGGGCTTAAAAAACAAAGAAATTATTATTTAAGAAAGGAATTTTTTTTTTCTTATCGCGATAATAATAATAATAAAAATATTTACTTTAACAACTTTTGATGGATTGAGACCGCTTGCGGCCATATAAGTGGATCCAATTGTTTTAATTTTAATTATATCTTGAAATCTTGGAAGCTGTAAAATGGCATCAAAATCTGAAATGACTTCGTTAAGAAATCGAAGACATTCAAGTCCTTGATTGTTCACGGATTCTTCAGAATAAAAATCTGAAATTATAAAAATTTTTGTTGCATTATGGCATCAATGGAATAATAAAAAGAGATTATTCGACGTATTACTACCTGAAAAGTTAGGCATAGAAGCAAAAAGTACACCGACTTCAGCATAACTTTGACTGTATAATTCTTCGTGTTGTCTTTTTTTATTTCCTAAAAAATGGACGGCGACATGCGGTGGTAAAATATTATAAACCAAAACTTCATTTCTTCTACCGATATCCGAAGCTTTTTCTCTCTGTTCTTCGACTTCAGTCTTCCATTGAAATAATACTCTTGTCGCTTTTTCAACATGTCTTGCCAAAAATGAAAGTGCAAGAGCAACGCAAACCAACATCGAACTTCTTTTTAATACTAAACTAAAATTTTAATAATTTATTTATTTATTATTATTTGCATCCTTCTTGCGGTTTTAAAGGGAAAAGAAAAAACTTACTAAATGTCATTTTCGAAATTTTCTTCGCATTCGAGTGCTGCAGAAATGACAAAAAAATTCATGGAACAATGAAGAGCGACAACAATGAAAAAAATTGCAATTTTTATTAGATGAGAAATTTGAGTTGGAAGAGATGCTGCGACCAATACGAGTACGCAAAAATATGAAAAATAAGAAGGATACAAACAAATGGTGGTTGTGTCACCACCCGCCGTGCAATTTAAAGGAGAAGATGATATATCACATGACACCTAAAAAAACAATTAGTAATTAAATTTCAACAATTCGACAACATGTTCAGGAGGAAAAAAATTCAAACTCACCATATCGACGGCATTCACCGATGCCAACACTAAAATTGCCACGGCTGCCAACAAACGTCTAACCCAGAGTATATTACTTGCCGTGAGACTGCATTGAACAATCTCTTTGAAAAATATCTATAAAAAATTATTATTTAAGGATTAATAATAATAACTCTAGGATATTGTTTACCAACAACAGGAAAAAAAACCTCACCGAAGGTAACAATTCGGCTACTGCAATTATACTAAATATCACGAGAATGGTAAATCCAGTTGTGAAAGACAAAAAACTTAATTCGTCTCTGGAAAAAAAACCAAAGGCAAAAATCAATCAATTAATTATTTAATAATTAATAATGATAAAAAATAAAATTGATTTAATTACCTTGGTAAAATAATAAATTGTGCTATCGATATAAACAGTAGAACAAACGGACAACCCAAAAGGGAAATTGTTGCTGCTGCTTCTTTATTATGATTAAAATCTTTTTCTTTTTTATTCGATTTGAAAGAAAGTGTGAACCAAGTCGTGTGATCAGATAAAGTGCTATATTTAAAAAAAAATAGACGACATTTTTTTTTTAACGACTCAAACAACAAGTTATTAATTAATAATAATAATATTAAAATTTATTCATGATAATCTCAAACCTTAAGCCTCCTTTATTAATCAACTCTTTTCTTAATTGATTTTTAAAATCTTCTGTACCATCGTTAGTTTTCTCATTATTGAGCATTTGATTTTCTTCTTCTTGTGGGCTTGTTCTCTGCTATCGAAACCATTTCAAAAAAAAAAAAAAAAATTTTACTTATTAATATTAACATTTCGTGACCTTTTCGTGACCACTTCAAAAAAAAAAATTTCAATGTGAGAAAAATATATTTTAAATATTAATATTAAAAACGAACGAACGAATGAATGAATGAATAATTATACGTATACATTAATGTTTTATTTTTTAAATATTTAATATAAAATTAGCTACTCGCATCGAATAATAATAATAATAATATTTACTTACCTCGAAATCTTCATCGACGTCTTTTCCATCGTAATCGCTGTCGTAATTTTGCGACGAATCATCTCGAATATTTCCATTATTAACGTTCGATTTTAACGGTTTAAACTTTTTTTTTTAAAAAAAATTATAAATAATAATTATTAGAAATTTTTAGTTCGTTATTTCCAACAGGAAATAGTGTTAGTAGTATAATTTTCTATAACTCACCGGTTTTAATACTTTAACGATAAAATAAGTTTTCATTCCAGCCATTCTTAAAGCTTCTTCTCTTTTTTCACCATAAGCAGGTTCAACTTCGAATTCATCATTTAAAAAACTTAAAGTTTTTTCCGATATGTGAACTTTTCTAAATGGTGGAGGGGGGGGAAAATAATAATAATAATAATTATAAGTTCTAAAAATAATTTTAATTTTTTTTTAATTTATACGGGGTTATTTTTAGGGTGATATATATATAAATTTAGGAAATAATTAAGAATTTTTATATGGTGGCAAATAAAAACACTTTCGAAAGGTTTCTTAAAAAAAAAAAATTTGAAAAGAGAAAATGTTTTTCGATTAAAAAAAAAAAAATATGGCTTCTTAGGAAATTAAAACTCAATTAAATTTATATTTTTTGGTTGAGGAATAAATAAATAAATAAAATTTACCCGGGTTTACCGCTGCTTTCCATTTTATTAGCTAATTCTACATCTTTCGAATAAACATCAAATTGCCATTGAGTTTGTCCTAAAACACCTGCAAGTACGGCTCCTGTGTGTATTCCAACTCTCATATCGACCGGAGAATTACACGTTTGTTGAACGTATCTATATATACACACATACATATATATATAAATTTAATTTAACAAGGAAATGTCATTTGGTTTAGGAAAAAAAAAAAAAATTTTAATGTATTATTTTCGTGTTATTGAAATATTTATTACGTTAATGCAATGTGTGTGTGTGCGTGCGTGCGTGTGTCGATTTAAATAACTTACTTTATAGCTTTGACCATTGATAGGCCCATGTGAACGCATAAAACGGCATGATCCGGTCTTTCTCTCGGTGCTCCACTTATACAATAATAACAATCACCTAATATTTTTATTCGTAGTTGATGATATCTCTAAAAAAAAATAAAATCATTATCACACGTCATCCATTTCCGGTTTAAAAAAAAAAAAAAAAATCAAAGTTTCAAAAAGTTGGGAGGAAGGGGGAGGGAGGGCGTATAAGCGAAACGGGATAAATTTATTAGACGCAGACGCGTCACGTTAATTTAATTTATTTTTTACAAAAATAATTTTTTATATTAAAAACAATATGTTAATAAATTATTAATAGAGAAATATAAATAAGTTAATAAAAACTTTACGAGAGTTTATTTAGACTAAAAACTAAATTAATAAGTTTTTACGTTAAAGTAAAAACTTATTTATTTTAAAAATGAAATAAGGAAAAACGTTTTTTTTCTTATTATTTGTTGTTTAAGTTTTAATTTTTTATATTTTCGATATTATAAAAACGTAATAAATTATTATTATTATTACTATTATTATTATTATTAGGAAAAAGGTGTCGAAAAATTTTAATTTGATAATAATCAAGTAAAAAAAAAGAAAATTTAAAAGTACGTATCGATAAATTATAAATCTCTCGCGGATGATTTATTTTTATACGTAAAAAAATTTTCTTTTTTTTTATTATCATTATCGTAGAGAGAGAGAGAGAGAGAGAGAAAAACTTACCTCGGATAATCTATCGAATCTGGCAAAAAGTTCATTTAATATTTTAACCAATTCCGATGCTGAATAAGTTGAAGAAATGGCGGTAAAACCAACAATATCCGCGTAAAGAATACTGAAAACAAAAAAAAACCGTTATGAAAATCATCGAACAATATATAGAAGAAAGAAGGTTTTTTTTCGCGTTTAAACTCGGTTGTTGTTTGTTGTTTGTTGTTGTTAACGGTTTAATTTTTTTAATCATGTAAATTAGAGGGATAATGACGTTTATTAACATTATTATTTGGTTTGATCGAACATAACCAAATTGTTATCGATTACGAAAATTACATCGACAAACAAAAATTCCTGTTTTTTTTTGTGTGTGTTTGCATGTAAGATGTCCTCCTTCCCATCGTCCTGTGTTCCCCCTCCTTCCCTTCCCCTTCCCTTACTAATTTTTCCGATCGAAAATTTAATAACGTTGCGAAATAAACAAAAGGAAAAAAAATGAGAAGAAGAAGGAAATTTTTATCATTGTTATCATTTCACGTACCTGACATTTTCGTGACGGCTCATGTAAATTTTTTTAAATTGGCTGTCAAGAGCTGAACCTAAATCCTGTCGCATTTTAACAGCCACGTGCTCCGGCAAAACCGACAGCAATAATCGTTCCTAAAAAAAAAATTTATTATTATTATTATTTTCATTATTGAGTTATTTTTATTTTGTAAAAAATTTTCTTACCTGTTCGGCGGATTGTTCTTCTACTAACATTTTCATTTCGAGAGATTGACGAGTTTCCAAAAAAGCTCTTCTTTGTTGTTTGTCCGATAAGAGATAAGTTGCTAATCCAAGTGCGTTGGCGGCTAAGAGTAGCAGAAAATTGGCACTAAACTAAAAAAACAAAAAATTTATTTATTTATTTTTTGTTAAATAAAAAGTTTTTTGTTTGCGAGAATGATAATTTATCGATAAAGCGGAAATGCTGATTTAGAAAAATTCGATTCATTAATTTGTTATCTTATCAAATTTTAAAAAATTTTTTGTAAGGGGTTGTTGCTAAATATTAACAATAATAATATTGTTATTCTGGAAAAAAAACCTTAATTAAAAACGATACCTTATTTTTAAAAAAAACAAACACCTGACGGCCGCCATTATGATAAATAGTTTTACTCAATTTTTATTTTAAATTTTTAACCTTATTAAAAAAAAAAAAATTATTATCTTACATATTTAAAAACCATTCACGAGAATTTATAACAGTTCAGAAATTTTCTAAAAATTAACTCCCACCTCCCTCCCCTTTATTTAAATTCCAAAAATAATTTACAAAACTGTAATAAAACCGGAAATAGTTTTTTTTACTATTATTAGTATTTGCGTTACAATAAATGCGACTCGACAATGTCTCCACATATATTTTTATTTAACGTCTACCTTTTTTTAAAATAAATATTTTCTTTTTTTATGGAAAACTCCCACGAGTTTCTTTTCAAAAATTTAAACTGTTAATAATAATAATAATTGTATGAAAGTGTGGAATGAGAATGGTGGGGGGAGGGGAGAAAAAAGGATTTTCTAGGTAAAAAAAAAAGAGAGAGAGAGAGAGAAAGAATAAAGGAAACAAAACCCAAAGATAGACGTATTTATTGATTTCCAGGTTTTAAACGCGCGGGAGTAGCAAAGCTAAATCCAGTCAGGAGCGAAATAAAAATTCATTTAAAAAGCTTCTGACTGGAATAAAAAAAAAAAAAAATATTAATTTCAATAAATAAATAATTTTTTTTTTTTTTTATAACGTACACATACTCGTATTTATTTATTAATAAAATAATTTTTTTTACGTACGTAATTTTATTTACGTCATCAATTCTAAAAAAAATTTTTTTTTTTTTTCGTTGCTTTCTGAACGTGCTTTTATTACACGGATTAAATGCCGTTACAAAAAAAAAGAAAATTTATTTATTTATATCGTGTTTAAATGTGTGTGTGTGTGTGCGTGTGCAACGACGATAAAATAAAATTTTAATTTTTATATCGATCGATAATATTAAAAATAATTTACGTGAGAGGTGACTTGGCGTAATTATAAATAAAATTGGGTTTTATAACCCGCCCCCCATAATATTACAAAAAATTTTTTTTTTTTTTTTAAATCTCAAACTGATCTGAAGTTGTGTGTGTTTGTTTGTTTGTTCTTTATATAACGAATCCGTTATCAATGACACGATGATACGAAATTAATTGAAATTAAATTTTGGTTTAAAAAAAAATAAAAATAAATTTAACCTTGTTTTTTTTTTTTAATATACCCTAGGAAACCCTTGAAAATTTTTTTTTTTTTTTCTATTCGTGCGAAAATTTTATTTTTTTTTCTCCTCTTCGTTTCCGTTTATTATTATTTTTTTATTTAAAAGTATATAAAAATCAATAAACATCTTATTCGGGCACAATTTTTTATTTTTTCACGTTTAAAAATACGTTCGAACGAACGCACGAACGAACGCACACACATTAACACAGTTTTTATATATGTAGATAATTTTACTAAAAAAAAAAAAAAATTTTTTTTGAAGTATTTTCATCGATCCCGTAAAAATTTATTTCGTTTTTTTTTTTTTTTAATTATGTATTCATTCATTTATTCATTCTTCTTTTTTTTAGAGAAATTTTCGATGAGGAATAATTAAAAAAAAAAAGGAAAAAAAAATGGAGAAGATGAAAAAGGAAATAAACAATTTCAATGTAATAAGGTAATTAAATTACTTTTTTTTCGAAAATTTCGAAATTTTTTTTGTCGAAAAAGTAAAAAAAAAACAAAATAATAATAATAATAATAATTTTTTTTCTTTACGTTTGTTAATGGATTTTTTCGAGGGGGGAGGGGGGAGAGAGAGAGAGGAGAGGAGAGAGTTTTTATTTTTAAAAAAAAATATTATTTTCGTTTGATGATAAAACAATGATAATAATAATTTACAACGGTTTCGTCCATTTTAATTTTTAAAATAATAATAATTTATTAAACTTTTTTTTTTTTCTTTGTTGGGGAGTCTTTTCCGAACGCCTCCCCTTTTTTTCTTTGTTTTTATTCGTTTAAAAACAAAAATGGCGTCCCGTGCGAATCTCTAACATGATAAAGCTAACGAGCAGATATCGATAAATTATTCAAAATATTCAAAAAAAAATTTATTTTCTTAATCATTCATTCATTCATTCATTCATTCCTTACTTAGGTAGACGTTTAACCAAAAAAAAAATCGATTAATTAATAATAGATCGATCGATTTTAAACTTTTTTTTTTTAATTCGTGCCATAACCGTAAAAAATCATTTTTTTTTTTATCACATCAGGTGTACCAACATTATAAATATTAATTATTATACAAAGATTTCATGATTTACCAAGCATCATATTTCAATCTTAAAATCCAATAATTCAAAAATGTTTTTTTTTTTTCATTTCATTTCGTAGATGACTCAATTAAAACATTATTAAACTTGGTTGTTGTCTTTTTGTTATTGTTTTTGATTGATGAGATTTTTTATGACAGTCACGCTAATTTTATTATTTAAATGTTTATCATTTTTTTCCTTTTTCCTTTCCTTTCCTGATTTTTTTTTTACCCGAACGCACACTTATCGATACTATATAAAAATTATTATTATCTATAATTCAAAGGATTGCGTTGCAAAAAAAATTTTTTTACATCAAAATTTAAGATTTACACTTAGTTAAAGTTTAAAAATTTTATTGCGCATCCATTTTTTTTTGTAAAAAAATGTAATAATTAAAATGGTTCGTAATTAAGATTTTTTTTTTAGTGCAAATGCTTCTATAAATATAGGGTGATTTAAAAAAAAAAAAAAAAGAGAGAGAGAGAGGGGGGGGGACAGAAAAAAAGTAACGGTTTTTAACTCTTCCTTTGCCAAAAAAAAAAAAAAAAAAATTTTTTAGAGATTGATATGTCGCTTCTTCCTATTTTTTTTTGTAACAAAAATTTAAAATCCCGAATGATTTTTAAAAATACATCGTTTTTCGTTTTACCATTTACAAATAAAACAAACACACAAAAAAAAGATAGATACGTGTGAGATAGAAATAGATAGATAGATATCGGTGACAAAATTTCAAAAAAAAAAAAATCTATAAATATAAATCGTGAGAATAAATTATTTATATAAACTTAAAAAATAAAAAAAAGAAAAAGTGGGTGTATACGTAGTACGACGTTTTTAAAAAAAAAAAACCGTTTTTTTTTTTTTTGGCATTTCACGTAAAACTTTTTTTTTTTTTTTTCGTAACGGAGGTCGCGGTTTTTTTTTTTTTGTTTAATTATATCGAAAAATTCGATTCGTTTTTGTTCTAATGTTATTAAAAGTAAAAGAAAATTACTTACCGTACATAAAATCTAATAATAAAAAAAAAAAGAGAGGGAATAAATACCTGATCGATAATATGAGAATTATTTTTGACGAGTTGACCAACTGTTACAAGGTAGGAGGCACAAGTGACCAAACTGAGCAAAACGCAATACCGAAGACGAAGTGGTAAAAGAACGTAAATGAGATAATCCAATAAAACGGTCCATCCGAGATTATCGTGACCCGTGACGTCGCCATTTTTAAATATTAAACCCATCAAAAGTTGCGATATTGATATAATCCACGATAGATAGGGTATGGCAGGCCATAGCCATAAAAATTTTTCCATTCCGAAAAAACACCATATTAATAATAATAAATTTGATAGTAAAAAACCGACGAGTGTCCAATTGAAATTATTTAAATCACAAGGAATGGATAAATAATAAATATCGTAAAGTATTGATGATAATATGAAGCAATGAAGACCCTCACGTTTTTGTTTAACGCTATATGATAAATATAATTTTTCTAAAGAATCGTCATTGAAAGCTCTACTAAACAATTGTAATAATAATAATTTTTTTTTATCACCACTGTTCACTTCCACGTTACCATTTTCAATATTTTTATCAATTTTTTTTTCCATCACAGCCATTTTTACTTTTTCTTTTTTTTTAATTAAATTATTTATAACATTTTTTTAAATATCATTTATTAATTTTCTTTTTTTTGTTTTTCAATAAGGCCGTTTAAAACTATTACGCGGCATCTAAATAAATAAATAAATAAATAATTATTTTTCGGCAAATGTTTTTTTACCAGACGATGACGACGACGACCATAATAATAATAATAAAAAAAAACCGACAGATATTTTACTAACCCGAAATAACTAATTCGTCTATTACCGACCCCTTTTTTTTGTTGTCTATCCCCATTTTTAAAATTTAAAAAAAAAAAAAAAAAAAAATTGCTATTATTCAACAACAACAATAACAACAACAACCCCATGAAATATTTTTTTTGCCAAATTCAAACAATCAGATAAATATTTAATATTTACCTGTGATTATTATTATTATTATTATTTTGTTAGCATTTTTTTTTAAATTTATTTTTATTCGGATTGACTAAAAAAAAAAAAAAAAAATTTTGGTTATCAATTATCGAAAAGTTTGTTGGATAAAATCTTTTATTAATTTTTTTTTTTTTTTAATATAAAAATATTATAAAAATTAAAAGTTCAACCGGAAATAGAATATTTACATATAATTTTATAATCGTTTGTTTACGTTTACAACAAACAATGAGTATGTTTTGAGTAAGTTTAGTAAAAAAAAAAAATGTGTAAAAATAAAT